CCCAGGGGGTCTTTAGGATTCCGTAGAAATTCTGTAGGATCCCGTAAAAGTTCTATAGCACCCCCTAAGGATTCTATAAGACCCCCGAGGGATTATGTAGGTTTCTATGGGGTTCTATAGCATCCCCGGAAAATTATATAGGATCCCCGTGGTTTTTTACAGCATCCCGTAGATTCTAGGATTCTACACGAGTTCCAAGGCAGTCGACACGATTGCCTGTACGATTCCGAAAGAGTCTGCAGGTCCGAGGTCGGCTCGGTGGAGCGCGCATCGGTTGAGCACGTGGGAATACGTGGGCTGCTTTAGGGATCCAGAAGATTTCCAACGGCTTCCTGTGGTTTCCCATGCTGGCCGTAAGGCGCGTAGCGTAGCGTTGCGACGCGTTGCGTCAGCTGGTGTACTTGGTCCGGGTACACCAGCTGGTTGTTTTGCCTTGTTGTCGTCGTCGTCGTCGTTGTTGTTGTTGCTGTTGTTGTTGTTGAACTTTCACTATTGAAGAATAATTGTTGTTGATTCCCCCTCCGGTGACCACAGTATTTTTTCAATTGAAGGGCTTCCCTCGGGGCTCGCACCTTGTGTTTTTATAACGGAAGTCACGGGGTTCAAACTCTGTTGTTGGCCCCCGGTTTACAGCAACAACGGCTCCCGCCTGATATTTCCTCACAATGGATTCCCAAATCGCGCTCTCCCGCTGGACTTCCTCACAATGTGTATACGAATCGCGCTCTGGCGTGGGACTTCCTCGCAGTTTATTCAGACGATGCGCCCTCGGCGCTCAGGAATCACGCTCTCGCTTTGGCTTTTCTCACGATTTATTTGGGACTCGCGCTATCGCTCGAGACTTCCTCGCGATTCATGCAGGGCCCATGCTTCAGCAACCCGCCTGCTCGACCTGGTCGCCTGGGCCCGCCTTCTCGACCTGCCCGCTTTGGGTCTGCCCACCAGAACTGCCCGTCTGGTTCTGCCACTTGTTTTCCTGCTCCTTGACCCCCCCCTGCTACATTCTTCTCCCTCCCCCTTCCCACCCGTCTTTTCTTCTCTTGTTTTAGGGGCTGCACTACATGCACGTGGCAGGTAAGGAAGAGACACCCGCAAGGGAGTACGATCGAAGACGACGAGGGCGGGTACCGAGGGCATGGGATAGACTCAATGATCGGCACGTGAGCAGAATGGAGCGAACAGTCTCAAAATGACTGTGGTTGTTGCTGTCGTTGTTATCACCCGCGCTAGAGGAGCCCAGTGGCAGAGGTCAGAGTGACGGCACGAGCGACGGACGAGCGACGGACGAGGGGCACGGCCCGCGGACCCTGTGACTCGGCTGCGCGTAAGAGTGACCTTTCGCCAGAGTGACCTCTGGTGCGGGCGCACGGGGGTGGCCCCAGCATTGGCCCGCGCACTTGGATTTGGGCCCTGCGCGGTCCCCCAGAGCCGCGCACAAAAGGCCACTCTTGCCTGTGGTCGCTCTTGCGTGCAGTCGAGTGGCGCTCGCTGGGTGCACTGCGACTGCGTGCGGGCCACCTCGTCGGAACGGCAAAGCGCTATGACCTGGCCCTTGACGCCGCCTCCTCCTCCCTCCCTCCTCCCTCCGTCCCCCTCTCCTGCCCCTCCCCCTTGGCCCTTGACGTCTCCGTCCTCCTCCCCCCCTCCTCCCTCCTCCCTCCTCCTTGCCCCTCTCCTGCCCCCCTCCATCCCTCCTCCCTCCGTGCTCCCCTCTGCATTTCGCACCACACTCTTGGAGCAGCACCCTTCTGAACGTGCGCGCGTGCGTCGGAAAAGTGCGCACGTCGGTGACCAGGGCTCTAGCCAAACGGTGTTCTGGCGATTTCGCTTCGCAGCAAAGACAGAGCGAAGGAAGACGAAACTGAGACGGACATGACAAACACTGTTTAGCTCGAGCTTTGTCGGAGACGCTGCACAGGCATGGGGCTCACCAGTGATTCCTGCGGCCACCTGTTCGGGACGCTCCCGTGTTGGCGCAGGCCGCCGCCATCCGCTGTTGAGTCTCCCCTTCCGTCGCCGCGCAGCACGCGAAAGGAGGGAAGGAGAGGGGCATGCGTGGGAGCTGGAAGCCGTTTTGTTTAGGCAGGCACGCATTGGATCGGATTCATGCCGCCTTGGGGCGGGAGGGCGCACTCGCGTGGCCAGCCATGCCGGCAGGCGGAGGCTGCCCTCGCCGCCTTCTGCTTGCGCCCTCCCTCAATTGCCCCGATTATCTCTCCCTCTCCTTCTCCCGCGCTCCCCCCCCGCCCGTCGGTCTCTTCCCCTGTCCCCCCCCCCCATCCATCTTTTTCCCAACCATCCCGTGGTGCCGGGTCCTCGTTTTGAAGAGACGGTCCCCGCGTCTCCCGCTGCCCTCCTCCCTCCTCCCCCTCCCCCTCCCTCCTCCTTGCGCTTCACCAACCCAATACAGCGCTTCGTGGCCCCATGGGGAGCTCCACCCAAGGCCCCAGTGGGGGTGGCCACATGCGTCCGCCACACCAAGTACAGCGCTTCGTGGCCCTAAAGCCAAGGCCCCAGTGGGGGTGGCCACATGCGTCCGCCATACCCAGCACAGCGTTTCGTAGCCCCACAGGGAGCTCCACCCAAGGCCCCGGTGGGGGTGGCCACATGCGTCCGCCACACCCAGTACAGCGCTTCGTTGCCCCATAGTGAGCTCCACCTAAGGCCCCAGAGGGGGTTGCCACATGCGCCCGCCACACCCAGTGCAGCGCTTCGTAGCCCCATAGAGAGCTCCACCCAACACTCCAGTGGGGGTGGCCACATGCGTCCGCCACACCCAGTAGAGCGCTTCGTGGCCCCATAGGGAGTTCCACCCAAGGCCCCAGTGGGGGTGACCACATGCGTCCGCCACACTCAGTACAGCGCTTCGTTGCCCCATAGGGAGCTCCGCCTAAGGCCCCAGTGGGGGTGGCCACATGCGTCCGCCACACCCAGTACAGCGCTTCGTGTCCCCATGGGGAGCTCCACCTAAGGCCCCGGTGGGGGTGGCCACATGCGCCCGCCACACCCATGTTGGCACACCCTTCACACGTTTCGTGGCCCCATGGGGAGCTCCACCTGAGGCCCCAGTGGGGCTGGCCACATGCGTCCGCCACAACCAGTACAGCGCTTCGTGGCCCCATGGGGAGTTCCACCGACAGCCCAGTGGGGGTGGCCACATGCGCCCGCCACACCCGGTACAGCGTTTCGTGGCCCCATGTGGAACTCCACCCAAGGCCCCAGTGGGGGTGACCACATGCGTACGCCACACCCAGAACAGCGCTTCGTGGCCCCATAGGGAGCTCCACCTAAGGCCCCAGTTGGGTGGCCAATGCGTCGGCCACACCCAGTACAGCTTTTCTTGGCCCCATGGGGAGCTCCACCTGAGGCCCCAGTGGGGGTGGCCACATGCGTCCGCCACGCCCAGCACAGCGCTTCGTGGCCCCATGGGGAGTTCCACCGACAGCCCAGTGGGGGTGGCCACATGCGTCCGCCACACCTGGTACAGCGTTTCGTGGCCCCATGGGGAGCTCCATCCAAGGCCCCAGTGGGGGTGACCACATGCGTCCGCCACACCCAGAACAGCGCTTCGTTGCCCCATAGGGAGCTCCGCCTAAGGCCCCAGTGGGGGTGGCCACATGCGTCCTCCATACCCAGTACAGCGCTTCGTGTCCCCATGGGGAGCTCCACCTAAGGCCCCGGTGGGGGTGGCCACATGCGCCCGCCACACCCATGTTGGCACACCCTTCACACGCTTCGTGGCCCGTTAGGCCCCCGCCACGCCCAGTATTCACAGTCATGTACATTCACACTAGGCGTATCCATGCTCGCATTCATGCACATAGACTTACTCGCGCGCAGACTCAATGACAATTAGACGCGCTCGCACTCAGTCCCACCCGCGCTCAGTCCTCCGTGCTCAGGCCTATCGTTTCCGTTCGTGTTGTGTACCCCGCCACACATGTCGGCACACCCCTCGCTAGGTTCGTGGCCCCCTACAGATCGCCATTGAAGATATTCACAATTGCGGTACTCACAACTGCATGTGGTTGGATCCTTCGCCAGGACAATTATGTTTTCCGTCCTGCCCCTCCCTCCCTCCATCGCTCCCTCCTTCACTCATCCCCTCCCTGTCCATCTGTCCGTCCCTCCCCGCCCATTCCTCACCCTGTCCCTCCCTATACTTACAGGCGGCCCGGAATAGTAGGTCGACCCTGCCAGATCAAGGGTACCCTCGTGTCCTGTGCCTTGCGCCCCATGCCTCCTGCATTTCGGTGGCAACGTGGCCCTCGGAAGGGTCTTGTGTCCTCTCGCGTGTCCTCTCCGACTGTATGCGTTATACGTATCCCTCCCGGCCGTCCTCTCCAGCATCCCCCCCTGCCGGCACCACCACCTGGCCACCGGGCGCCGCCTCCCCGTGCAGCGAGCGGCCTGCCCCTCCTCCTCCTCCTCTCTCCCTCCTCCTCCTCCCTCCTCCTCCTCCTCCTCCTCCTCCTCCTCCTCCTCCTCCTCCTCCTCCTCCTCCTCCTCCTCCTCGTCGCCGGGCCTGTCTTCTTGCGCATTCTCGAAGCGCATGGTGGAATATATGCTTCGCGCGCTGCTCGCGGTGGCCCGTCGCCTTGCGCTGCGCCTGCGCGCCGTTGGAGTTCGCATGCTGCGGCGCAACCTGCCGCATCGCGCGTCTCGCACGGCGTTGCACCACGCACGCTCCAGCACAGGAGGCCGGCGCTCAGAAGGCCAGTGCCAGCGCCGGCGCCCCCGGGGCGGCCACGCAACCGATTGCGACGCAGCCGAGCCGACCGAACCGCTGACACCCTTGCCCGCACAGGGTACTCCAGATTTCGTAATAAAAGGGAGGGGGTCTCAACCCTCCCAGACGAGAAGTTTTAGACCCCCCCCCCTGGGAGAACCCTCCAAAACATAGTCCCCAGACCCCCCCAGGCCCTCCAAGATAGCCTGGAAGAGACCCCCCCCGAAATGAGACCCCCTCCCTTTTATTACGAAATCTGGAGTACAGCGGCATGAACAACCTCCTGGAGCTGCGAGCGATCGGGCCGCAGTCAGAGGCGCCCTCGTTTTGTTTCCACCTCTTTCCGAGGGCTTTCCGCCGCAGGACCAGAGATTTCATGGATCCAGCGAACAAGGACCAGAGGACTTCATTGGACAATTCCATGCTTGCAGCTCTTATTCCGTAAGCGGGCCAGAGACTATGTTAATCTTGTTTGGCTGCGCTGTCGCTGAAGACAGGAGAGGGCCTTCCGCTGCCTTCCGCCGGGGCAGAGAGACGTCAACCTCTCGACCCAACGAAGACGAGGCCCTCTCCGGAACGCCCCACTCGGGGGGGCGATCTCGAGCTGCTCGAGGAGGAGGACCCCCCAGGACCCCCCCCCAAAACACCCCCGAGAACAGCACCTCGACACAGCAGAGCCCTCAACTGACCTCCTCGGCCCTCGATCGTCGAGTCCCGATCCCTCAGGAGGGGCTCGCGGCCCCCCTGGTGGTGGTCCCCTGCGGCATCGAGCAGTGGCGAAACGTCCTGATTTGCTTATAGGCACCCCAAGGACTGTTCCAAGAACTTTCTGCGGTCTGCACAACACGTTCTTAGAACATGTCTGGCTGAGACTGTCTCTTGTTTCAGTGCATAGGCTTCCTGTCCTAATCAGAACTTTTTTCTCGTTCTAAGAACATGTCGTGGCAGGCCTACAGGAATGCCGCGACGGTCGGTCCCTGCTCAGTGGCGCTGCCAGCAAAGCTCCCGACCTGTGTGTGCGTGGCCCTACCTGGTGGTGTCCCCATCGACGACGACGGAGCCCTCAACTGACCGCCTCGGCCCTCGATGATCGAGCCTCGACCGACGACGGCGGCGGCGGCGGCGACGACGACGAACGACGACGACGACGACGATGACGACGACGACGACGACGACGACGACGACGACGGCGGCGGCGGCGACAACGGACGATGACGACGACGACGACAACGACGATGATGACGACGACGACGACGGACGACGACGACGGATGACGACGACGACGGACGACGACGACGGACGACGACGACGGACGACGACGACGGACGACGACGACGACGATGACGACGACGACGACGACGACGGCGGCGGCGGCGGCGACGACGACGACGACGACGACGGCGGCGACGACGGTGGCGGCGGTGGCGGCGGCGACGACGACGACGACGAGGGCGGCGACAACGTACGACGACGACAACGACGACAACGACGACGACGACGACGACGACGGACGACGACGACGGATGACGACGACGACGACGACGACGACGACGACGACGACGACGACGACGACGACGACGACGACGACGACGACGGCGGCGGCGGCGGCGACGACGACGACGACGACGACGACGGTGGCGGTGGCGGCGGCGACGACGACGACGACGACGAGGGCGGCGACAACGGACGACGACGACAACGACGACGACGACGACGTGCACGTGCGTGCCTCCGCCGCGAGGGGTGCTGCCCGGCCAGCGCCCCGGGCCGCCCGCCGGCGCGGGCGGCCGGCCGCCCTGGCGCCAGAGCCCCGCGGAGGCGGCGCTGCTCTGGGACGCGAGGACGGCCTTCGACTACAGTCGGACCGAGGTTCGAGCTTTCGGGTTCGAGGTCCGAGGTGCTCGGACGTTGTTGTCGGTTCTCGGCGGTTCCTCAGCCTCGGGATGCTTGCCAGCAGCTGCGCCTCGCCGAGAGCACTCCGGGGGCGCCACGGCCACGGGAGGGCCGGGTCCGGGTTATGACCGAAAAGCCAGGCGTCCGTGGGACCGAGGTACAAGATCGAGGTCGGTTCGGGGAGGGTGCCTTGGTGTTCTTCGTGCTTGTTGGGTGTTCTTGTGCACCCTGGGGAGGGTATCCTTGGATGTTTTGTGTGTTTGGGCTGGCGGAGGGTCTCGTCTTCTTGAGGGGTGTTTTTCGATTTATGGTTCGACTGTACACGTAAGAGTGAGTGACCCTTCTTCCCAGACATGATCGCACCGCAAAACAATCAGGACGGAGCGTCCTGGCCCACCACAGAATGTTCCAAGGACTGTTCGTGGTTTGTACGAAATGCTATTGGAACATGTCTGGCTGGGATTGTGTTGTTTTCATCAATCGATGTTTTGTTATGAGGGCGTTGTTTCCCCACTCGGAGCTTGCCTCTGTAGGGACCCTAGCAGATTCATATGGTTAGGTTAGCCGCTGCACGCCCGGGTGCCCGGGGGTGCCCAGGGGTGCCCGGGGTTGAGGTTAATTGGCCGCCGATTTTCGCTGCACACCCGGGTGCCTGGGGGGGGCCCGGGGGTCCGGGTGCCCCGGTGCCCGGGTGCCCGGGTGCCCGGCTGGCCAGGCGTGCCCGGGCGTGCCCGGGGGTGCCCGGGGGTGCCCGGGGGTGCCCTATAGCCCTATAGCCCAATGGCCCTATAGCCCTATAGCCCTATAGCCCTACAACTCTATAGCCCTATAGCTCTATAGCCCTATAGCTCAATAGTTCTATAGCCCCCTAGCCCTATAGCCCTGATTGGGTTTTTTCTCCAGCATCATTTTGTTAGTCGGACGTTTTTCTGGTTCTATGAACATGTCGTCGCGGGCTATAAGAATGACGGGACGGTCGGTCTCTGCTTAATACATGATCGCGTCGTAATAAGCATCAGGACAGGAGTTTTTTTAATACTGTTTTCGGCCACGGGGGGCCCTCGCTGGGCCTCGGGGCCGTCAAATAATTGCGCAGGATGAAAGACTGGTCCCGGGGAGAGGGTCGGGACTTCCAGGGACCCCGTATGGAAAGAATCAGGCAGTCGCATGTTTGGGATGGCCCCTCTTCGCATAGGCTACGCGTAGGAGTGACCTTTAGCTGGAGTGACCTTCGGTGCGGGCCCATTGGGGTCCCCCGTTCGCCGAGCGCGATGCGACAGCAGCGTCTTGTGCGCCTGTAGTTGGTCCCTCGGCGGCCCCCCCCAAAGCCGCGCACCAGAGGTCGCTCTTACCCAGGGTCGCTGTTGCGTATAGCCAACACCTCCTCCTCCCCTTGGGGTAATGAGACAAGCAAGGCATGACGGGAGGTTCTTCGCTGTCTTCGGCTTCTGGAGGCCCTCACCCCGAGGCCGTCAAAAGTGGTTCAGGATGAAGCGCCAGTTGTTCCCAGGGAGCGGGTCGAGACTTCTGGGGGCCGACGTCACCTGTCAACAAAATCATGGCGGCGGGAGTCCGGGCTCGCTGCGGCAGGGCCACGACGGCCTTGCTCACCGTCCTGCGTTTCTTCGTGCGCGTGCTTCCTCCTCCCCCAGATCCAGGATCCGGGCGCTGCACTGTGTTCACGCCAGGCGTGTTCGCGCGGTTTCGGGCCCCAGGGCCATCACAGATTGATCAGGCTCGAGACATACACCGAAAGATTTGGTCCAGGGCGGGTCGTGCTATGTCGCGATGTTGCGAGTTATTCACAACGTCGGGTCTCAGAGCTATTCCTCATCCTCCTCCTTATTTTTTCCTCCTCGTGTTCGCCCTCCTCGTTCTTCTCCTCTTCCCGCCACTGTGCTCGCCTTCCTCGCCGTAGTCACGTAGTCCTCCTACCCCCCCTCGCTGTAGGAGGAAGAGGAGGAGGATGAGGAGGAGGAGGAACGCCGCCTTGGACGCTGTGGGAGGACGAGGACGAGGACGAGGACGAGGAGGAGGAGGAGGTGGATGAGGAGGAGGAGGAGGAGGAGGAGGAGGAGGAGGAGGAGGGAGGAGAGAGGAGGAGGAGGAGAAGGAGGAGGAGGAGGAGGAGGAAGAGGAGGAGGAGGAGGAGGAGGAGGAGGAGGAGGAGGAACGGTCCCCCTCGCCCGCCACGCATATTATCCTCGTCAAATGGTTGACAGCGAAGCAGTGTGTGGACCTCGAGCGGTCCCAGTGGTGAGCAACAACGGGACGTCGGGTTGTGGGGTCGCCAGAGACTTCCAGGGCGAAGCTCCGTGGCTGCTGCCACGAGGCGAGGATTTGCTTTTCAGTCGGCGGTTTTTGCTTGAGTTCGGCCCTCGGAGGCCGTCTTCTGGTCTGGGGATTATGTAGAACGGATGGACTTTCTTCTGGGGGGCCGAAATGGGTACAGGCAGGATGGTGACGAGAACCAATAGTAGTTCCTGCCCATTTCAAACAGGACTCGCAGTTAGCATCGCGGCGGACGGTGTCCTTTTGAGGCAACGTGTCGCTTAACCAGCAGCGGCCGCTATTGGATTTGGACCACATTAGCTGTCGGGCATTGTGCAACTTTTTCGGTACCCATTCTGCGGCGTGCCAGCATACCTTTTTGCATCCTTTGGGGTACACTTCCGATACACCGCTCCCTCGGAGAGTCAGCCAAAGTGCGGCGGGCCCACAGATAAAGGGGAGGGAGGGCGAGTCGAAGCAACGGCGGCCCGCCCTGTTTTTTTATGCTGTTCGATTACTCTTTGGGCCTCCCGAGGGGCGTCTCGCCGTCACGGCTGTGGTGGAGGAGGGAGGAGGAGGAGAAGAAGGAGGAGAAGGAGGAGGTGGAGGAGGAGGAGGAGAAGGGGGAACGAGGATGAGGAGGAGGTGGAGGAGGAGGAGGAGGAGAGGAGAGGAGGAGGATAGGAGGAGGAGGAGGGGGAGGAGGAGGAGGAAGACGAGGGGAGGAGGAGGAGGAGGAGGAGGAGGAGGAGAAGGAGGAGGAGGAGGAGGAAGGAGGAGGAGGGAGGACGAGAGGAGGCGGAGGAGGAGGAGGAGGACGAGGAGGGAGGAAGAGGAAGAGAGGGGGGGAGGGAGGAGGAGGAGTAGGAGGAGGAGGACGAGGAGGAGGAGGAGGAAGAGGAGGGTGGAGGAGGAGGGGAGGAGGAGGAGGGGAGGAGGGGAGGGGGAGGGAGGAGGGAGGAGGAGGAGGGAGGAGGGGAGGAGGGCAGGAGGGAGGAGGGAGGAGGGAGGAGAGGAGGGAGGAGGAGGGAGGGAGGAGGGAGGGGCGGAGGGAGGAGGGGAGGAGGGAGGAGAGAGTAGGGGAGGAGGAGGAGGGAGGAGGGAGGAGGGAGGAGGGGAGGAGGGAGGAGGGAGGAGGGAGGAGGGAGGAGGGAGGCGGGAGGAGGGAGGAGGAGGAGGGAGGAGGAGGAGGAGGAGGAGGACGAGGAAGGAGGAGGGAGGAGGAGGAGGAGGAGGAGGAGGAGGAGGAGGAGGAGGAGGAGGAGGAGGGGGGGGGTGAGGAGGAGGAGGCCTCTCGCCGCCGCGGCTGGTACCTGCCTGCTTCGAAGCACGGGACAGGACGGGCCCCGGGAGCTGTCCGGGGCCCGATCCTGCGCGGCTCCGGGCTCGGGCCCGGGCCAGGCGAGCGACGTCGCTGTCTTGGCCGGCCCTCCTCGAGCAGACCCCTTCGCGCGGCGACTCGAGCAGTGGCGAAGCGTCCCGGCTCGCCCATAGCCCCACCAAACATTAAGTCGGACCTGTCCCCTTACAGGGGGATTTTCGACGGAAGATAAAAATTATCCCGGCAAAGCAACCTAACAGCGATGTGTATAAGCATATCTGGAAGCATTCCCCTTAAGATTCAGGTGAGAATCCAGTTGTAGAATTCAGCTGTTCTCGCAGTCGCAGTCGCATTCGCAATGACAGTTGCAGTGACAACGGCCTTAGGATCCAATGGAATCCTCAGGATTCCTAGGGAGTCCTAAGGCATCCTTAGGCATCCTTAGGAACCCATAGGGATCATTAGGAAACCTCAGCCTCAGCCTCAGCCTGCCTCAGCCGCAGCTTGCCTCAGCCTCAGCCACAGCCTCAGCCTCAGCCTCAGCCTCAGCCTGCCTCAGCTTCAGCCTCAGCCTCAGCCTGACTCGGCTTGCCTCAGCCTCAGCCTCAGCCTGCCTCGGCTCAGCCTCATCACTCAGCCTGCCTCAGCCTCAGCGTCAGCCTCTCAGCCTCAGCCTGCATAGCCTCAGCCTCAGCCTCAGCCTGCCTCAGCTCAGCCTCAACCAGCATCAGCCTCAGCCTCAGCTCAGCTGCCTCGGCCGCAGCTTGCCTCAGCCCCAGCCACTGCCTCAAGCTCAGCCTCAGCTGCCTCAGCTTCAACTTCAGCCACAGCCTGCATCGGCTTGCCTCTGCTCAGTTCAGCTGCCTCGGCCTTAGCCTCAGCCTGCCTCAGCCTCAGCCTGCATCAGCCTCAGCCTCAGCCTCAGCCTGCCTCAGCCTCAGCCTCAGCCTGCCTCAGCCTCAGCCTCAGCCTGCTTCAGCCTCAGCCTCAGTCTGCCTGCAGCCTCGGCCTCGGCCTCAGCCTGCCTCAGCCTCAGCCTGCCTCAGCCTCTGCCTCAGCCTCAGCCTCAGCCTGCCTCAGCCTCAGCCTCAGCCTGCTTCAGCCTCAGCCTCAGTCTGCCTTCAGCCTCAGCCTCAGCCTCAGCCTGCCTCAGCCTCAGCCTGCATCAGCCTCAGCCTCAGCCTGCCTCAGCCGCAGCTTGCCTCAGCCTCAGCCACAGCCTCAGCCTCAGCCTCAGCCTGCCTCAGCTTCAGCCTCAGCCTCAGCCTGCTTCGGCTTGCCTCAGCCTCAGCCTCAGCCTGCCTCGGCCTCAGCCTCAGCCTCAGCCTGCCTCAGCCTCAGCGTCAGCCTCTCAGCCTCAGCCTGCATCAGCCTCAGCCTCAGCCTCAGCCTCAGCCTCAGCCTCAGCCTGCTCAGCCTCAGTCTCAGCCTGCCTCAGCCTCAGCCTGCCTCAGCCTCAACTTCAGCCTGCCTCGGCCTCAGCCTGCGTCAGCCTCAGCCTCAGCCTGCCTCAGCCTCAGCCTGCCTCAGCCTCAGCCTCAGCTTGCCTCGGCGTGCCTCAGCCTCAGCCTGAGCCTGCCTCGGCCTCAGCCTGCCTCGGCCTCAGCCTGCCTCAGCTCGGGCATTCAAAATATGGCACAGGACTAGTGTTTTGGGAACACGAAGATCACGAAGTGGCCCACGGCTGGCTCTGGGCAATCAAAATATGGTACAGGAATGGTGTTCCGGGAACACGAAGAACACGAAGTGGCCTACAGTTGGCCCCGTGCAATCAAAATATGGTACATGCATGGTGTTCTGGGGACACGAAGAACACGAAGTGGCCTACAGTTGGCTCCGGGCATTCAAAATGTGGCCTGGGAGTGGTGTTCTGGGAACACGAAGAACACGAAATGGCCTACAGTTGGCTCTGGGCATTCAAAATGTGGCCTGGGAATGGTGTTCTGGGAACACGAAGAACAAGAAGTGGCTTGCAGTTAGGATTCCTACGAATTCCTAAGAATTCCTAAGGATTCCTGGGGCTGACCCTTTTGTCCGGTTTTGTCCGGATCCCGCCCAGACCCCCCTGGGGCGTGAAGATGCTCTCTCTTTTGAGCCCACTAGAAACCTATGAGAAAAAACTGTTAGGTAAATACCCCAACAATAGTCCAACAATAATCAAAACATCGTATGGGGACTATTTGTTTTTTACTTTCTGACCTTTTTGGGACATTTTTTTGTATTTTTCATTTTTCATGGAAAATCCCCTTGTAGGGGGACGCGCCCGACTTAAACCAAACAGTGTTCTAAGAACCCTTTTGTGATTCCCACGAAAGGTTCTCAGAACCTTTCTTGCGGAGCCTGCCTCGTTATATCACGTCGGGCCTCTGTTCTAAGAACATTGTTTTTGTTCTTAGAACATGTTTGGGTTCTCAGAACACTTCGTGGTATGACTCTAGGGATGCCGGGACGGTCGGTCCCTGCTCGAGCGACAACAGTCGCGACGGAAGGGTCTTGTTTCGCTGTCTCTGGCCTCCTGGGGGCCTTCGCCGGGCCTCGGGAGCGGCAGACGGCGGCTCGGGAGGAAGAACCGGTCCCGGGGAAGGGGTCCTCCTCTTCCTCCTCCACCACGACCTCCTTCTCCTCCTCCTCCTCCTCCTCCTCCTCCTCCTCCTCCTCTTCCTCCTCCTCCTCCTTTTCCCACCTTGAGCCCGTCGCCCCCGATCGTCCCCCTATCGCTCGTGCAGGAGTGACCCTTCGCCGGAGTGACCTTTGGTGCGCGGCCATTGGGGCCCCCGGATCGTTGCGTGCGGTGCGACGGTAGCGTCGTGCTCGCTTGTGCTTGGCCCCCCCGCGGCCCACAGAAGGCCGCGCGCCAAAGGTCACTCTTACCCAGGGTCACTTTGCGTGTAGCCGACCTCTGGGGGTCGACGTTGGGAACAAAAATCACGACGTCGGGGGGTCTGGGCTCCGGGGCCCTCTCCTCCCGCAGGGCGCGTCCGCGGGCCTCTGGGCGGCCCCCTCGTCGCCACGATTGGACGCAGCTCGGATCATTGGTGCGTTTGGACTTTGGGAGGGCGTCAGGGGACCGATCTTCAGCTACCGTCCTTCTCCGAGAGTCAGCACATGTGGAACGATTTGGTGATCGAGAAGTCGGTCATCCATCGAGGTTGAACGATTCACACTGCTTCAGAAGCCAACGCCCCAATCGTCACGACGCAAGCCTGCCGCGCAGCACGGCCCTGCCGTTGCCAGGGCCCACGGAAGGGTGGGTACCCGTGCCCGATGCGCCCGTTCCAAGGGCCCACTCCGCCGGGAGACCCATTCTTATATATATATATATATATATATAGATATAGCGAGAGGGAGAGAGAGAGAGAGAGAGAGAGAGTGCGCGGGGTTGCCCCTCCCGCGAGCCAGCGCTGTCGGGGCGCGTCTTCTCGTTACCGTCCATGATCAGTTTACCAGTTTGGAACATATCACTATCCCTATGTTTGACATCACCTCACCTCGATGCCGATCTTGAGGAATCCCGCAGCTTTTGAGGGCCTACCCCTAAGACTGTCCTCGCTTTTTGCTCGCCCATCTTAGGGATAGGGGTTCCTACAGAGTGCGTGGGGTTGCCCCGCCCGCGAGGCATCGCTGTCGGGGCGCATCTCCTCGTTATCATTCAGGAGGAAAAAAACACACAGACACAATTATTCGTCGATCCCCAAGAAAATATGGGAACATATGGGAAGTGGGCGGGAAGACCAAAACCCAGAAAACATGGGAAACTATGGGGAATCTTGTTATTTGCGTGCATTTATTTGTGTGTCCTTGGGCCCCTTCACCATGATCAGTCGCCTCCGCGTCAGGACGCTGGCGTCGTTCTCCATATCGCAGATGGACGCCCTCTCGAGGAGCCCGGCCGCCGCGCAAACATCAGATTTGCAATTCGCGGTCGGCGACCTCCTCGAGCTCGTGCCTCCCTGAAACGACGCGAAGATCGGGACCAAATCGGATCGGGATAACTCGAAATCTCTGTGAATCGGCGGGTCTGGGGGATGTATCGGGCGCCGCGGCCGCTCCAGATCGTTCCGGAACGCTCTGAGAGCGTTCCGGAACGCTCTGAGAGCGTTCCGGAACGCTCTGGAGCGATTTATCCCGATCCTAGCCCTGTTTTACTCCCATTTTCCCCAGTTTCCTTGATGCGTGTGCCGTTCTCCTGCCGCCGTCGCTGCCGGTCTTGCTGCGGATGTGAATCCCCACCGTGGCCCCTCCATGTAGTGTGTCGCTTGCTGCTTGTCCTTCTCCTCCTCATCCACATCGTCCTCAGCTTCACCCTCCTCCGCCTCCACTCGGTTCTTCTCTGTACGGTAGTGGTGGAGCACGTGTGGCACACATCACGTCTGGAATCCATCCAGCAGGCAGGAAGTTGCTTCGGCAGGCTCCCAGCGAGTTCCGTGGCCCGAGCGTTTCTGGAGCAGCTCCTCATCGGCCGGTTGGCCAGACAGTGGATCGAAAGTTTGCCTTGGCATCTAAGCTGGGGAAACCAAGAGGTACGAAGTCTGCTACTCCTCAGACCTCTCCCGGGTTGCGTTCTGACCAGGCCCTGATTCCGGATCCGCCCTACTTTGGGCAATGTCGCAAGTTGGGCTTGGAATTTCCGCCACACTTTTCAAGCCTCGACGATGCCAATTTCCGCCCTAGTGGACTTGATTAGAAACGTCAAAAAGTAAGGCGAAACTGTCAGCCTTGCTTCTTTGGAGGCGGAACTTTCCGCCCTACCTTTTCGGCTTCCTAGATGTGGATTTCCGATGCAATTTTGAGTGGGAAAGAAAGCCAAAAAGTAGGGCGGATCCGGAGTCAGGGGTACCTCGAGGCGAATCCGGCGGTGGCGACGGGGCCCTCCCAGGAGGCCCTCAAGGAGGGGAGCCAGGGGAGGACGAGGGAAGGGCAGCGGCAGGAGACCCAAGAAGGGGAGGACGAGGGAACTTTGCCCTGGCATCGAAGCTGGGGAAGCCAAGAGGCACCAAGTCTGCTACTCCCCAGACCTCTCCCGGGCTGCGCTCTGGCCAGGACCTCGAGGCGAATCCGGCGGTGGCGACGAGGCCCTCCCAGGAGGCCCATGGAGGGGAGGACGAGGGAAGGGCAGTGGCGGTAGGGGTACCCTTTTTGCCTCCGCTGGGGAGGCCGCTGCTGTCTCGGCTCGTGGTCCCGCTTCGGAGCAGGTCTCTCAGGAGGGGAAAAAACACACACACAGACACAATGAATCGTCGATTCCGCAGAACAGATGGAAAATTTTGGGAAGTGGGAGGGAAGACAGACACCACGAACATATATGACAATATGAGGAATCCTGTTATTTGTGTGCACAGTGCCGTTTTTAATACATGCTCCGCGTGCGGATCATGTATTAAAAATGCACGGATTTAGTACTGTTAAGGCCCATTCGAGCGACCCCCCCCCCTTTAAGTTTCGTTCAGTGTGTCGCCCGAGCGTCGCCCGTGCGCCGGCCCTGGTTTGCGACTCTGTCCCGGACCCCGGCCTCCCAGCGTGCGTGGGCGACAAATGGCGCGACTTCGGAATTTCTCTGGCGATATATAGGTTTCCGACGACGGTGCACCAGCAGCCATTTTGGCGGTCGTGGCGCACTCTAGTTCGACGGTCCACCAACGCGTTCTGTTTCCAATTCGGCGCAAGAGGATTTGCTGGTGCGCATTTTCGGGGGCGCCAACCGATGCTGAGGACGAAGACGCCTCGCGTTGATTGGGGGCT